TACTAGGACAAAACACTATTAATAATTGCCTTTGGCAAAGTCCACTATTAGTTACGTTTTTTGAATACCGTGATATATGTTTTTAGGTAAAGGCGCTCGCAAATGAGGCTCAAGTACCATTTTTCTACATGGCTGGATCACAGTTTGTTGAAATGATTGGTGGAGTTGGTGCCCAACGTGTTCGTCGTCTTTTTCGTGCGGCTCGCGAAAACGCACCTAGCATCATCTTTATTGATGAGATAGACTCAATTGGCAAAGCACGTCATAGCCGAGCAATGTAAGAACCTGTTTGATTAAAATTCTTCCTCAATCTTACATTTCGCTCTTCCTTATCAAGGATTGCTTGTGCCTTACTTCATTTTTCTATCGCATAAAACATAGTAATTGCTTATATACAATATTTCTTTCCCATATATATGTATGTGTAATTAACGAAGAGGTAATTTTTTCCTTTATAAATCGAGTAAACATAAATGAATTATAGAAGTTGTTTGACCTTGTTTTTGCAACTTGGTAATATGGTAGGAAGACCTAGAGGAACGCACCTGGTCTGGAGTCCATTGTTTGCATGATAATTTCCAAATTAGGACCATGGACGTGGTACATTCCCAGACGTTTTGCCGGCATCGTCAGTGAGTGTTGCCATTCTTAGCATCATACTTCAACTCGTCAAAGAGATAAGTTAAGCCGATCCTTTAACCAAGTGTGTGCTAAGCAGTTGTGGTATCTTTCCTTCCGTCATGGGCCATTCACTTATCCTATATCCTTGTATCACGCCTTCACTATCACAATTTTTCCTTACTTATTTACTTCTAGTATAGTGTGCCCTTTTGAGCGGCTTTAATGAGAAACCTCCACACTCCACGTTGGTGCTCTCACCACCCTTAACTCTTGTGCCGGGAATTTTGATCAGAGTCTGCCATATTGTTACGCAATCCTTCCATAGGTCTTACTACAGTCTCTCTCTTGTCCCTTAAGATCCGTCTGCCCTCTCCCTGGTTCACATACTCGACCCCTGCCACTACATCTGTGCCTCTCGAGGCGTTATTTCCCACACTCTGCGTCTGAGTGACTAATTCGAGGCTCAAGCCTTTGCTACATGGACCACGTCTATGGTAAAACAGGCCTACTGTCAGCCCACTATCTCTAGTCTCCACCGCCTTTATCCTGTTTCTATCTTAATACTAAGTCTATGATCTGCTATGCCCTTATTTCTTGTGTGCCAACCCACAGATATTGTGATACTGCTTGCTTTGATTAGGCTCAATGTTAAACCACAACGGTGTTGGTTGACACGCAAGAGGCTAGGGCATAGCAAGTTACAAACTTGGTATTACGGTTAGAAAGAGGATAGATGCGATGGAGGCTAGAGCTAGGTGACTAAAAATAGACGTGCCTTATGGATCACGTCTATGATCAAACACGTCTATCGTTAGCCAAACAGCTCTAGTCTCCATCGCGTCTATCTTGTTTCTATCCATAATACCATGTCAATCACTTCATATGCCCTAGTCTCTTGTGTGCCAACCCACAAATGTTCTGGTGATTGTGAGTAGGCCTGATGAAATTCGCTCAAAAGGACACGCCAGGACCAGACATTAAGAAATTGTGGTAGTGGATCACTGATACGAATATATACGGTAATTTAATAGAGATTTCAGAATTGTTTAGCAGTCAACTGGTCAAAGTATCAACTACCCTTGTTTCTTTGTTCACTTGTACTGTGGTGCTCAGAATGGTAAGGCTCACTAATGATGCCGACTACGATTCCGGTGATACGTCTGAGAATATACCAAGTCCACGGTCCGAATATGAAAATTTTTAGTCGTTCTTTTAGGGTAATTTAAGGTTTGATAGTTGTACTTTTCCCACAGTAATATGACTAGGCTTCAAGATGTGGTTGAATTTCATTTATCATTGTCTCAAGAATTTATTTAATCCGCGAATGAACACGGGTTTAATTCCACCAACGTATGAAATATCTCCAGCGTAATCTGATTCCTTCGTTACAACATAACTGTTCCAATAAACAGTCACTTATTTCAGAGAGTTACAGGACAGATGTGACAATTCCGGTATTCCAGACATCTATAGTTGAATTCTTGATAAATCAGATGGTTGCTTAACATTGTAATACAGGAAGTTGCCTATTAGCGATGTTAATACGTTTCGATACTATCAGTGCCCCCTAATTAATATCTTACTAACATCGCATCGCTAAGCTGATACAGTGAATTATAACTGAGTTCTACCCATAATAATATGAGTACGCCTAATGAAGTTATTAAAAAGCATTCGTCTTGTCACAAAGAGTTTAAACTTCCTAGGTTTGCTTACTCGACGCCCCATCTATTATTGTGGTTTGGTGTGGGTTTGGTATAAACTGATTGCCATATCTTTCGGGCGTCCATTGGAACTTATGTTCACAACCAGATATCGAAGTTTTTTGGGGATGCTGATAAGACCTAAACGAGCTAAAGCCTGCAGTGCACCCGTGATGAGAGAAGCTTTTATGATGCAAAGCTCAGTAGACTTTGACGGCATCGTGTTGCTTACTAATATCATTTTTAGGAAAACTTCACTATCCTTCTTTGCATAAACTTAACTAGCCTAGGCTCTAATTAAAGAATTATTGATAGTCCCAACATCTACATACCGCATATTGCTTACTAAGATAGTTTCACTTCGATAAAGGACTAATAAACTATAAGTTATAGAATAAATTTGCCTTTTCAAGTAGAAGGTATTTAATAGTATTTGCCTTTGACCCAAAATCATTTGCGAAATCTTAAACGTTTCGGCCTTTTTATCTAGGCGTCAAGCCTAACTTGGATTTCTCTAAAATTGCTACCTTACTAATTAAAATAAAAGATTTGAAGAATAAGATGGTGTGGCCTTTTGTGTGGTCGCAGTCTTCTTTCGTTGTATAGTTCTGGTTCAGCATTAAGCCTAATCAAAGCAAGCAGTAGAACAACATTTTTGGGTTGGCACACAAGAGATGAGGGCATAGCAAATCATAGACTTGGTATTACGGATAGAAACAGGATAGACGCGGCGGAGACTGGAGCTAATTGGCTGGCAGTAGGTTTTACCAGAACCGTGGTCCATGTAGCAAAGGCTTGATCATGAAACTTATTCAGAGGCTTTAGCCTCCAATTAGTCACCCGGCCGGAGGGTAAGGGTGGTAACGCCTAGAGTAGCATATATGGGGTGGCAGGGGTCGAGTGAAATACTTGAACCAGGGGGATAACGGACGGATTCTACGGGGCAAGAGGGATATTCTGATAGGACCTATGGAAGGAGGACTGCGTAACAATATTGCAGAC